AAGAATCCATCTAGCTAATAAGTATGGACCCGAAGGTCTGAGGTAAACTACTCACACTTCATCGGAGAGGCTATGGTGTTGATGTAGAAGCCCTCCATGATCGATGCCCCCTCCGACGGAGCTCCGGAAAAGGCCCCAAGATGGGATCTTGTGGATACAGAAAGTTACGGCGGTGGAATTAGGATTTTGGCTCCGTATCTGGTAGTTTGGGGGTACGTAGGTATATATAGGAGGAAGGAGTACGTCAGTGGAGGAACAGGGGGCCCACGAGGGTGGAGGGCGTGCCCGGGGGGGTAGGCACGCCCCCTACCTCCCGTCCTCCTGGTTGATGTCTTGACGTAGGGTCCAAGTCCTCTGGATCATGTTCGTTCCGAAAATCACGTTCCCGAAGGTTTCATTCCGTTTGGACTCCGTTTGATATTCTTTTTTTGCGAAACCCTAGAATAGGCAAAAAACAGCAATTCTGGGCTGGGCCTCCGGTTAATAGGTTAGTCCCAAAAATAATATAAAAGTGTATAATAAAGCCCAATAATGTCCAAAACAGAATATAATATAGCATGAAACAATAAAAAATTATAGATACGTTGGAGACGTATCAGCGGTCATGGCCTCGTGCGGGGTGTAGTGGCTGCCCTCGATTTCGACATAGGTGGAGGCGCGTGGGTGGGCGTCCGGCCAGATCCACCCGGCTCTAGTGCCACGGGGCCGGCTGGCGGCGCGAGGTGGTGGCGGGTGCTCGTCTGAGCACCTGGTGGAGGCTGGTCACCGGCGGCATGGTCTTGGCCTCCTGATGGGGGTCAGTTGGTGTTTGTGGTGGCCGGCATGGGTTGGGCAGTGGCCCGGTGTGGCTGCTGCCCCCGGCCGTGGGTGGCTTCATGGCAGCTTGGCAGGTCAACTACGGTGGCGACCGGCATGTTCCGGCGTTGGCTCGTTCGTAGTAGACTTGTGTCGGGCTTCGATTCCTCTCCTTGTCATTCGGGCGTTACTTTCGTCGAAGGGTTGTGCTTCTCCTAGTTGCGGTCCATAGCTCGTCTCACGCCCGGTGCGGTAGGGCCGACATCGTCTCGCGCACGGTGTAGCAAGACCGAGCTCATCTCGCACACGGTGCAGTAGGACCGACGTCATCTAGCACACGGTGCCATAGGACCAAGTTCGTCTCGTGTCTGGTGCTGCTAGACGGGTCAATGGAGGCCAATTTTGGCAGGCCTATTGAGTCTTGGTGCTGGGGGGCTGCCTAGGGGTGTGAAAGGCGGGACCTTTCCGCTCATCTCTTTGTTGGGGGTAGCGGTGGATCTCGGGTGATGTGGTGGCAAGGTCTTGGATGCCGGTGCGGCGGCCCTGGTGGTGGTAGCGCAGTGCTCATGGGCAGAGCCCCTGGTTTGGTGATGCTGTTGGGGAACGTAGTAATTTAAAAAAAAATCCTACGCACACGCAAGATCATGGTGATGCATAGCAACAAGAGGGGAGAGTGTTGTCTACGTACCCTTGTAGACTGTAAGCGGAAGCATTATGACAACGCGGTTGATGTAGTCGTACGTCTTCACGATCGATCGATCCTAGTACCGAAAGTACGACACCTTCGCGATCTGCACACGTTCGGCTCGGTGACGTCCCACGAACTCACGATCCAGCAGAGTGTTGAGGGAGGGCTTCGTCAGCACGTCGACGTGATGACGGTGATGATGATGCTACTGGAACAGGACTTCGCCTAAGCACCACTACGATATGACCGGGATGAATTATGATGGAGGGGGGCACCGCACACGGCTAAGAGATCAATGATCAACTTGTGTGTCTATGGGGTGCCCCCTGGCCACGTATTTTAAGGATGGAGGGAGGAGGAGGCCAGCCCTCATAGGGCGCGCCCAAAGTGTGGAGTCCTACTAGGACTCCCTAGTCCTATTAGGATTTCACCTCCCACATGGAATAGGAAAAAGGGAAGGGAGAATGAGAAGGAAGGAAGGGGGCGTCCCCTTTCCCTAGTCCAATTCGGGCCAGTCCATGGGGAAGGGGCGCGGCCACCCTTGAGGCCTTTCTCTCCTTTCCCGTATGGCCCATTAAGGCCCAATACGAATTCCCGTAACTCTTCGGTACTTTAAAAAATATCCGAATCACTCGGAACCTTTCCGATGTCCGAATATAGCCTTCCAATATATCGATCTTTACGTCTCGACCATTTCGAGACTCCTCGTCATGTCCCCGATCTCATCCGGGACTCCAAACAAACTTCGGTCATAAAATCACATAACTCATAGTACAAATCGTCACAGAATGTTAAGCGTGCGGTCCCTACGGGTTCGAGAACTATGTAGACATGACCGAGACTCATCTCCAGTCAATAACCAATAACGGAACCTGGATGCTCATATTGGTTCCTACATATTCTACGAAGATCTTTATCGGTCAAACCGCATAAAGATATACGTTGTTCCCTTTGTCATTGGTATGTTACTTGCCCGAGATTCGATCGTCGGTATCTCAATACCTAGTTCAATCTCGTTACCGGCAAGTCTCTTTACTCGTTCCGTAATGGATCATCCTGCAACTAACTCATTAGTCACATTGCTTGCAAGGCTTATAGTGATGTGCATTACCGAGAGGGCCCAGAGATACCTCTCCGATAGACGGAGTGACAAATCCTAATCTCGATCTATGTCAACTCAACAAACACCGTTGGAGACACCTGTAGAGTATCTTTATAATCACCCAGTTACGTTGTGACATTTGATAGCACACAAGGTGTTCCTCCAGTATTCGAGAGTTGCATAATCTCATAGTCAGAGGAACATGTATAAGTCATGAAGAAAGCAGTAGCAATAAAACTCAACGATCATTATGCTAAGCTAACGGATGGGTCTTGTCCATCACATCATTCTCTAATGATGTGATTCCGTTCATCAAATGACAACACATGTCCATGGCTAGGAAACTTAACCATCTTTGATTAACGAGCTAGTCAAGTAGAGGCATACTAAGGACACTCTGTTTGTCTATGTATTCACACATGTGCTAAGTTTCCGGTTAATACAATTGTAACATGAATAATAAACATTTATCATGATATAAGGAAATATAAATAACAACTTTATTATTGCCTCTAGGGCATATTTCCTTCAGAGCCCGGTGGCCATGGCCATGTGGGCGGCATGGTAGCGGGGGTGTAGCGTTCAGTGGCGTCGAGTGTTGGCTGGGGTGAAACATGTTCTATCTTCAGACGGACCAACGGTGAAGAAGCTTCTTCCCTTCTTGAAGGCGTCGTCGTGGCTCTCACTGCCCGTCGTGCGACTCCAGGGGAAACTCTGATCCTCGGATCAGGCGGTGGCGGTGCTCCAGTGTCGTATCCTTCCTGAAGGTGCCGCCTTGGAGCCCACGGTTCGTCGTATGCGGCTCCATTTCTTCGCGGTGGCGTGTTCCCGGTTGCTCTTGTAGTGCTAGGGGTAGTGTTGCTGCTATCGGCGCCTGCGCCTATGTATCATGCTTTGGGTGTGTGCGTGTGTTATGATGGCGTGTGTTTGTATCAAGTTATTGTTGATCGTTGCTTCATATATAAAGCGGGGCGAAAACCTTTTTAGATAAAATATACATATAAAAATATACATACATATGAATACATCAGCTGGTCTGCAAGTTCCTAGCTGAGTGGACGGCCGATGCATGCGCCTTTCGTGCATGAAAGAATTGCTTTTTTTAGGGCACGGCCATCGAAAATACTACACACACGGATCTTTACGGGCTACGACGGACTCCTTCCATCTTAGACTACCCACAATGACCCATGTTACTACTCTATGTTACTATTCATTATGCCTAGTCTGATTGTTAATCTTCCCCCCTGATTTTAATGAGAATGGGGTCCGCTTCACCTTTTCTTTCCAATCACATCTTTCCACATCAGCACGCCCTGTAAACATCCGTGAAATCTCTCCGTGCGTGTAGCAAAGCTCCACGGCCATAGACACACGAGACACGCACATTTATATACCCAAGCACGCGCACCCGTATCACGTCGGGTCACTGAAGTTTATAATATTTTTCTTCGCGTGTGTAAAGATGTGCACTGTCCCGTGAAAGTGGCTACACCTTTTGTGAGTGGAAATGAACGCGTCCCTGTACATACATGATACACACATCGAACATTTTAGTTCTCCAAAAGGTGGTCGCTGTCGTCGGCCGGGTGGGTGCCGGCGGGGTGCATCTCCACCTCATCCTTCCGCTGCAGCTGCTGGTAGCGCTTCTCGGCCTCGGGCATGGCCCCCATGATGGCCCTGAGCCGCAGGTTCACGTCGTCGAGGCGCTGGTACACGATGTCGTTGGTCAGCATCCCCGCGCACACCATGCTGATGGTGTCCCAGCTCTCCACCAGCGGCATCAGGATGATCACCGCCGAGCCCACCGTGCCCCACGCGATCGCGATCGCCGCCCACAGCGTGAAGTACCCCAGGCTGAACCTCCCCGCCGGCACCGACAGCGCCGGCCACAGCACCACGATCACGACCGTGAACACCAGGCCCCACTTGACGATCCACCGCTTGGCGTGCACCAGCTTCGCCTCCTGGAGCTCGTCGTCGTCTTCGGCGGCCACGCTCTCCACCGTCGTGATCCGCCTGCTGCTCTCCCAGTCGTAGTTCTGCGGCGACACCAGGCTGCACACGCCGTGCACGGCCCCGCCCAGCAGTATGGACACCAGGTTGCCCGCCAGCATGGGCGCGTTCCGGCCGGTGGTGTCCAGGTTGACGCGGCCGTACTGCACCTTGGCCACCGTGAGCCAGACGATCACGCCGAGGACGCAGCCGCTGATGGTGCCGAGCATGGCGCCGAAGGCGTTGGCCTTGCTCCAGAGCAGCAGCAGAGCGATGGGGATGACGGCGGAGCCCACGAGGACGCCCATGGCCAGGTACATCCACCCGAGGGACACGCCCACGAGGTTGAGGACGACGGCCAGGACGCCCATGGAGCATCCGAAGGCGAGGATGACGGCCCTGGACACGAGGAGGATCTGCTTACCGGAGGCGCCCGGGTTGACGTAGGTGCGGTAGATGTCGTAGGTGAAGAGGGAGGAGACGGCGACGAGCTCTGCGGAGCCAGCGGAGGTGACGGCCATGAAGAGCATCGTGAGGAGGAGGACGGAGCCGGGCTTGCCCATGAGCGCGGTGGCGGTGGCCGGCGGGACGAGGCCCTTTGCCGCCTCCGCCGCGGTGATGGGGAGGTCGAGGGCGAGCGCGCCGAGGCCGAGCGATGTTGCCAGCGAGAATGGCACCGCGAACCACACCAGGCCGCCCAGCAGGTACCCCTTGTGCGTCGACGACGGCCGAGCGGCGATCGCGCTCATCCAGTACCCCTGCAATTGATCCAATTCCAATGCGCGATCGATCAAGCAAACCAGCACACCGCCGGACCGGAGCGCGGGAGGGACAATTAAGGAAGACTGTCACTTACGTTGTCGACGAAGACGGTGCCGAAATTGCCGACGATGTTGATGATGCCGAAGACGAGGCCGCCGGAGCTGAGCATGGTGAGGTAGGAACCCTTGAGGTTGCCGTGGACGGGGCCGCAAGACTGACCAGAGCGCGAGAGGTCGCCGGAGCAGTCCCTGGCGGCGCTGGCGACAACCAGGAGGCGCTCGTACACCACCTTGGGGCTGCCGAGGCTGCTGCTGGAGGTGTAGACGAGGAAGACGAAGACGAGGAGCACGGCGTGCACGACGACGGAGTGGATGTAGCTGGCGAGGAAAGTGGCCTTGAGCCCGCCGGCGAGCGTGTACACGATGACGCCGAGCGGGATGAGGAAGCTGGCGGCGTAGACGTTGACGCCGGTGAGCGCGTGCACGACGGCGGAGCCGCCGAGCAGCAGCATGGCGGTGACGATGACGTTGGTGGCGAGGCAGAAGGCGAGGAAGACGAGGTGCGCGCGGGCGCCCCACCGGGCCCTGACGATCTCGCAGACGGTGTGCGCGTTGGGCGCCTTGCGCTTGATCTCGATGGCCATGACCCCGAAGAGGAGCACCTGCACGGTGGCGCCGCTGGCGTACCAGAAGGGCCCGCTCACGCCGTACTGCCACGCCACGTTGGAGCTCTGCAGGATGGTCGCCGCCCACGTCCACTGCGACACGATCACGCTGGCGATCAGCCCCGTCTTCACGCTCCGGCCGGCGGTGTTGAACCACTCCGACGTCTGCAGCTGCGACCCGCCGACGTAGCGTTTCTCCAGCCACACCTACCATCATTTTCTCGTTTTCGTCAGTCAATTCCGATCCGCTAATTAATCTCTCTACCTGATGATGACAAGTGATCAAAAAATACTGTATTACCAGGAAGGAAGTGAAGAGCGCGAAGAAGGCGCCGAAGCCGAGGACGACGGCGTACCCGACGGCCTGCGTCAGCACCGGCTTGCCGCCGAAGAAGCTCTCGTCGCGGCTGCAGACCCCGTCCACCACCGAGTAGTACTGCCCGCCGAAACCCAGCTCCGGCGGCGGGCACACCACGCCGCCACCGCCCGACATATCGGATCAACTCTCTTCCGCCACGGCGAACTCGAATCAGGAATCCAAGACTCGCGCGTTGCGGTCAACGGCTCACTCTACCAATCCAGCTGATGGATGGGGAATCGGGAAGGGGTGGAGAGATTCACACTCCTCCAATATAGGAAGGCACTTGGCTGCTGGCTGTTGGATGTGGATGGATGGATGGATGCATCAATCACACTGCGCGCCACCGTATATATACAAGTCGTTGAGGAGAAAGAATTAACCAACTGGTTGTTTGTTTGGAAAATTAACCAATCGGTTCAGATTACTTCCGTGTTTTGTTGTGTGGTTAGGAGAATCTTTGACTTGGGCTATTTCGAGCCAATATGAAAACATTTATAAGAATCCACTGGTATATGTTCATGCCAGTTGAATCAAATAAATATAGAGATAATTTTTCATCTTACAGAAAAACTAAAAAATACACTTACGTTTTCCCAGTTATTTTGTCAACCTCGTCCTCATACGTCCTGCCGCGCAAAACTTGTAACATTTTGCAGCTTGCTATAGAAAAAAAAAGAGCAAGTAGCCAAAGCCATGTATAATCATGATAGGCGTCATGATCCACTGTAATAAGAAATGGAGTGCAGTGGAGTCTAAATCTGAAAAGACGTCCTGATTTCTACTAACTCATTCATGATGTAAACTGATATTTCTTTACTCCAGAATCTACACTTACGACGGAATCTGAATCAAGCCGCTTCAGCAAACGTCATTTACAACCTTCAATAGTAAAACCTAAGGGTAAGAGTAGAGCGCCAAGGCGAAGAAGATTGCATCAAGAAATGTCATGAGATGCGGCACATGGCTAATGCACCTTGCATTCCATGCCAATCACATAATGAAGAGCGCGACGACAACCCATGTTGTCAACGCCAAGTGCAACGTCAACCTCACAACAAACAAGACGGTAAAGAGCGTTTCGACAAGCTCAAGTTCACCATGCTAAAGTTCTTCGGCGGCACCGACCTCAAATAATATCTGAAAGTGCGTTATATCGACTAGAGGGGGGAGGGGGGGTGAATAGGCGAATTTTATGAAAGTCTTCAAAACCTGGAAGTTATGAAGACAAACAGTAGAGATAAGCCTATCACTATGCAGCGGAAGTTAGATTACACTAGGCAAGCCATGGTCAAGTATTCAATAAAGTGAAAGCACAATGACAAGTAGCTGCAGTGTAATAAGGATCAGGTAGGAAGAAGTTATGAAGCCAAACAAATCATACAGTTACGTTGTGAAGACAAAAGGTATAGCAAGCATGCACTGGCTTCACAATGAGTAACAGTAAGTAAAAGGAAGTGAAGATGAAACCAGTGACTCGTTGAAGACAATGATGTGTTGGACCAGTTCCAGTTGCTGTGACAACTGTACGTCTGATTGGAGCGGCTAGTTATTCAAACCTTAGGACACACAGTCCCGGACACCCAGTCCTGAACACGCAGCTCAGGACACCAAGTCCTCACCGTATTCTCCTTGAGCTAAGGTCACTTAGTCCTCGCCCAATCACTCTGGTAAGTCTTCAAGGTAGACTCCCAAACCTTCACAGACTTTGTTCACTGGCAATCCACAATGTCTCTTGGATGCTCTGAACGCGACGCCTAACCGTCTGGAGGATTCACAGTCCTCAAGTGTAATAAGTCTTCAGATCACACAGACAAGAAGACTTAAGTGATGCCCAATGTTCTCTGGCTCTGGGTGGTTAGGGATTTTCTCCTCGCTAGGAATTTTCTCTCAAAGGCTTCGAGGTGGGTTGCTCTCAAACGACAAAAGCCGTGCACTGAAATCTGAGCAGCCAACCGTTTATGGTTGTAGGGGGTGGGCTATTTATAGCCACTTGGCAACCCGACCTGATTTGTCCGAAATGACTCTGGGTCACTAAGGAACTGACACGTGTCTCAACGGTCAGATTTCAAACTCTCATGGCAACTTTACTTGGGCTACAAGCAAAGCTGACTTGTCCGGCTCTGGACAAGATTCGCTCTCATTGTCTTCACTCGAAGACATAGGTTTTTGGTTTAGGCATCACTTCAGTCATTCTGACTGGTTCTCCTGGACCCCACTTAACAGTACGGTGGTTCCTATGACTCAACACAAAAGAAAAGGAACTACGAAAGATCTAAGTCTTCGAGCTCCATAGGCTTCATAACGTGTCTTCTTTTGTCATAGTCTTCAATGTGAATATCTTCATATACCACCTTTGGCTTCAATGTCTTCATACATTTTTAGGGGTCATCTCTGGTAGTAAAACTGAATTAATAAGGGACTTCTACCTGTGTTATCCTGCAATTCTCACAAACACATTAGTCCCTCAACTAGGTTTGTCGTCAATACTCCAAAACCAACTAGGGGTGGCACTAGATGCACTTACAATATCTCTCTTGGTCTCTCAAGGTTGATACAATCTTCCACGTCCATAACTTTGATAAGGCAAAGAAAATGGTGATGGCTTCCTTAAGTTTGATGAATACACTCTCATATGGTGGGAACAAGCACTTGAACAATGACAAGAGCAAGGAAAAACCTCCCATCACCACTTGGGATGCCATGAAATGAGTCATGAGGGCAATATTTGTGCCTACCCACTATACTTGAGATCTCTTCAAGAAGCTACAAGTTCTTAAGCAAGGCACCAAGTCCATGGAGGAATACTACAAGGAGATGGAAATTGCAATGATCTAAGAGAATGTGAAGGAGTCGGATGAAAAACCATGGCTCGTTTCCTCAATAGACTCCACCATCTAATCAAGCGGATTGAGGATTTTCAACCATACAATAATTTTCTTGAGATGGTACATCAAGCCACAAAAGTGGAGAGACAAGTACAAGAAGATGTTGAGTGCTTCAAGTACTCTACTTGTCATCAAGAACCTTAGACACCAACACTCAAGCTCCCTCAAGTGTGGTGCCTTATACTCAACTACTCAAGCTACCCTCTAGTGGTGGTCATTCAAGCTTCAAGGCACCGATAAACCAATTACTAATATCCCAAGGGACTCAAACGACAAGACAATAAAGATTGAATGATTCAGTTGCAAACGCCCTGGTCGCAAGTCATTAGAGCGCCCTGGTATGAGTCTTTGAGTGGAGCAATGGAAGCTTTGCAATAAGTTGCTCGCCATCGCCATCTCAATCAAGACAAACATGATCAAGTGTTTTATTACACTGACAGGAGCCCTAATCTCGTTATCTCAAAAATCTTGACACTTCAACACAATGATGATGACCAACATGGCCATATCATCCACACAAAGCGAGCATTCATGGAAGATCCATCAAAGTCATGATCGATGGAGGAAGCTGCCAGAATTTGGCAAGTAAAGAACTAGGATCCAAGTTGCATCTTCAAAGAAGCGCCATCCTAGACCATACAAGGTCCAATGGTTGAGTGATTCCGGCGGTATCAAAAGTGAGCACACAATTGAAATTACTTTCAAAATTAGAGCATATGAGGCTACCGTGAATGAGATGTGGTGCCCATGACCGTTTACTCTTGGGACGCCATTAGCTTTATGACAGTGACGTCATGCACGATGGGCGAACCAACCACTATAACTTCAAGTGGAGGGGTGTTGGAATAAGGGGACAACCCTCCCTCTCCTGGGAGATCGGGAGTGTAGAACCAAGCCGTTTGCCAGCTCCATACTAATTTCAGGAGGTTGAGCCCCAAACAGTCATACTACAAGCGTAGCTGGATGTTAGCACCTCCATAGACACACACGGCTTTGTCGTTCTTCTTGAATTTAACATGGAAGGAGTACCACCACAACTTGAAATGTGCCTCCATCCCAAGGAAGCATTCACATAGTGTGATGAAATTGGCTATGTGGAGAACCACATTGGGCGAGATGTGGTGCAGCTAGCACTCATAGAAGTGAAGAAGGACGTGCACAAAGTTGTGCAATGGAAGGAAGAGCCCTCTGCACACGAACATAGTGTGAATCAGACGATACTGGCCCTTAGCCTGACCTTTCTTCGCTGGCGACCAAGGAAATACATCATTCCTCGACAAGAATCCCTTTGCCACAAGATCCCTCATGTGCTTACACGTGGTGGTGGAGGAGAGCCACTTCCCTTCCGTACTGTTGGCAAGACCCTCCTTTTTGTCCTCGCCAGCAACGCTGCTCCGGCCATCGCTTCCTCGACCCGCGCCACTTCTGCCCTTGTTGTCGCGTCTGTGACCCCTCGCTACACACCATTGAATGGATTTGTCTTGGTTGCAGAGGAATAAGAGGAAACAAAGCAGCTCAAGAGCTAGCAACAATGGTGGGAAGGTTCACGGGGAAGAAGGAGAAGATAAAAGACGAGCAACCAAATGTGGAATGAGCCTGTGTTGGTTGTGACCTCCCCTTTATAGCGGCTCAGGACGCCCAAGCAACGGCCTGGGCGTGGTGGTACATGCCTACTGCATTGACAGAATCGCCCACTACACGTGTTGCAGGCGCAAAGATCAAGGCACCATCATAGCCAAAAGGGAACTAAATCGATAGCATTTGGTTGTTCTTCCGCACTTACGACTTAGACGACAATGTTGGGATATGACCATCATGAAGTCCCAAGACACCTTGATCCCCCACGCGGGCCAGACCCATTTGATCCGGGTAGATACGGCGTATCTCTTTTGACCTAGCGGTCAAGCCTAGCTAGGAGGGATGACGTCATGCCACCCACAACGCTTCGCGGCATGGCCACATGGGAATCTTACAGGACATCGTCCTCGTCAGAAGGGAAATCAGAATTCTTGCCAGTCGGAGGATTGTTCAATTCAATAAGAAACTGGACTCCAGCTAACCCGTCGGTTTACGGTCCACCAGCTATTAGAGAAGCCGAATTAAGATGAAGCCGCTTTATCTACTCATCTAGCAAGAGCATCCCAAGGTCATCCCCATGGACCTACCATCGTCTCACCAAGTGCCTAGCGGACCCATGACACGAGCATGTGCAAGAGCTCTCGAAAACGAGGTGACATCTCTCCTCTC